CAAGCCTGAAGGTATGATGGTTGCCACAATTGAGGTCGGACCAAAGAAAATTTCCACTGTTTTCTTTATTGTGGACGCAGATACTACATACTCTCTTTTGCTGGGACGAGATTGGATTCATGCCTCTCAATGTGTGTCATCAACCTTGCACCAACAGTTAATGTTCTGGGAAGGAAATCAGGTCTTTAAAATGGAAGCGAATGACAACCCATTCGACGTAACAGAACAAGTGGAAGAGTCAGTGTTTTATTCTAGTCACTTGGCTCCGATGTCTCAGTTGTATATGGCCAGGGAATACCCAAACAAGGGTTATAAAGTCACTGGCCAGAACTCGATGTTCTATTAAAAGAACACCTTTACTGTATGGCTCATAATAAAGCCACACCCATTTCCGTATAAGTTGTTTGTTATGGAAGATACAACTTTAGAAGTATGTAGTTCTCTTATTAATAAGTTCTATTTAAAACAGTTATTACATAAAGTAGAAAATAATAAAGAGATTCTGGATGTTCACCTCCAAGAAGATGAACAATTTCGTTGGCCCGACTTATTAGAAAAAAACAGAACCAACAGCTTCATCACAAGACCCGTTATTGGAGTTTAATTTAGGAACCGAATTGGTTCCAAAAGTGATCAGGTTAAGTGGTTATTTGTCCAAAGAGCAACAAACAATGATGCTTGAAGTTATTAGAAACAACATTGATTGTTTAGCATGGGATTATTCAGAGATGCCTGGTTTGACAAGAAGTTTAATAGAGCATCGATTGCCTATCAGAGAAGGTTGTAAACCTTACAAACAACCTCCAAGGCGAATGAGCCCGGATCTGATGCCTCAAATCAAGGAAGAAATCCAAAAACTTCTCAAAGTAGGTTTCATTCAGCCTTGCCGTTATGCGGAGTGGCTGGCTAACATTGTGCCAGTAGTCAAGAAAAATGGTAAGATAAGGATATGCATTGACTTCAGGGATCTGAATCTAGCTACCCCTAAGGACGAATATGTGATGCCTATGGCCGATATGTTAATAGATGCAGCAGCAGGGCATAAAATCCTTAGTCTGATGGATGGTTATGCAGGTTATAACCAAATATTTCTGGCAGAAGAAGACATTCCTAAGACAGCATTCAGGTGCCCAGGGGCTTTAGGTATTTATGAATGGACAGTCATGCCATTCGGGTTAAAGAATGCAGGGGCAACTTACCAAAGAGCCATGAATTCGATCTTTCATGATTTAATTGGCAAATCTATGGAAGTTTATATTGATGATGTTATTGTTAAATCTTCCAGTTTTGATGAACATTTGAGGGATCTTGAAGAGGCATTCGAAAGAATGAAGAGGTACAAGTTGAAGATGAATCCAACCAAGTGTGCTTTTGGAATATCAGCAGGGAGCTTTTTAGGATTCTTAGTTCATGAGAGAGGAATCGAAATTGATGCCAATAAGGCTAAAGCTATTCTTGACAGTCGGCCACCCAATACGGTTAAAGAAATCCAAAGTCTTCTGGGTAAGGTAAATTATTTGAGGCGTTTTATTTCTAATGCTGCTGGCAAGGTCAGACCCATTACTAAATTGTTGAAAGCTGGAAGAGATGCTTTTGAATGGGGTCCCGATCAACAGACGGCTTTAGATGCTATCAAGCAGGCATTGGTTCATCCTCCAGTCTTGATGCCTCCTAAACAAGGTCGGTCGCTCAAACTTTATTTAGCAAATACATATGAAGTGGTCAGCTGTTTATTGGCACAGGATGGTGATGATGGGAAGGAAAGGGCAATCTACTATCTCAGTAAAACCCTTACAGGACCAGAACTGAATTACACTATGCCAGAAAAGATGTGTTATTCATTGGTCTTTGCTTGTACTAAACTTGAGCATTACTTGCTGCCCAGAAGAGTTGAGGTTATATCAAAGGTGGATCTCATCAAATTGATTTTACAGAGACCTACTATGAAGGGCAGACTCATGAAGTGGGCCATCAAATTGGCTCCTTTTGATCTTCAACATTCCCCGTTGAGGGCAGTCAAGGGACAAACAGTAGCCGACTTCTTAGCAGAATTTTCCCAAGTCGGGTGTTCTCATAATGATAGCGTCCGACCATTCGGTTGTTCATCATGTTGGAACACCCTACAGGTCGGATGTGTGCCTTATATAAGTACCCGAACATGGTTGATGTTCTTTGATGGTTCTACCTCTGGAAACAAATCAGGGGCAGGGGTCTTTTTGCAAGGACCCGACGGACAAAAGATTAACTTACAACTAAGATTGGAAGCCATGACCCATAATTCGGCAGAGTACGAAGCTTTAATTCTGGGTTTGGAGGCTTTAATTGCCAGGAAGGTCCAGTCTGTAATTATAAGAGGGGATTCTCAATTGGTAGTCAACCAGGTAAACAATCAATATGTTTGCAATTACCCTCATCTTCGCAAATACAGGGACATTGTGGGTCAGTTACTGACAAAAATCTCAGAAGTAATAATTGAGTTCATTCCAAGGAAAGAAAACCAACGTGCTGATGAGTTGGCTCAAAGGGCCTGTAAAGGAATTCCAGGGAATATGTGGTCGGAGGTCAAGTCGGGCATAGAAGAAAAGACAGACCCAATACGCGAGGTCATGGTCGGGCAGGAGACTGTCGGACCTAAGCCCGACTGCGAAGTTACGGTCGGGCAGGAGATAGTCGCACATGAGACCGATTGCGAGGTTATGGTCGGGCAGGAGACTGATGGACAGGAGCCCGACTGCGTAGTTACTATCGGGCAGGAGCCCAACAGCTTAGTTATAGTCGGACACAAAGGTACCAGTGAAACAGTGCCCGATTGGAGAACAGAGCTTATCACGTATTTACAGAATCCTGGTGCAAATGTTTCAGTTGCGACGCGATTGAAAGCTTTACGTTTTCAATTGATAAATGGAATTTTGTATAAGAGATCATTTGAAGGTCTACTTTTGAAATGTTTGGGGTCTAAAGAAGCTCTAGAAGTGATGACAGAAGTACATGGTGGCATATGTGGAGCTCATCGGGCAGGTCTGAATATGAGATGGGCCATTCATCGTTTGGGTTTTTTCTGGCCTAAGATTTTTGAGGATTGCATACAATTTGCAAAAGGCTGCCAGGAATGTCAAAGACATGGACATTTAAACCATCTGCCAGTAACCGAATTGCAATTCTTGGTAAAACCATGGCCTTTTAAATCATGGGCTATGGATATTATTGGTAAGATACATCCTGCCTCATCGAAACATCATTGTTTCATATTGGTTGCGACTGACTATTTTACCAAATGGGTAGAAGCTGTTGCTTTGAAAAATGTGGATCAGAAAGAAGTGATAGACTTCGTTTTGAATCAAATTATTTATAGATATGGTATTCCTCAATCTATAACAACCGACCAAGGCTTGGTTTTCACTGGGGAAAAGTTTTCTAGTTTTTTAACAGAGTTTGGTGTCCGACTACATCATTCTTCACCTTATTATCCCCAAGCCAATGGACAAGCGGAAGCAGCAAATAAGATTATTATTGGGATTATAAAGAAGATGGTTGAAGGGAACCCGAGAAAGTGGCATTTGTTATTGTCTCAGGCTTTATGGGCACATAGGAATACCAGAAGTACGGCCACAGGGTTCTCACCTTACCAACTTACATTTGGCCAAGATGCTGTTTTACCAGCCGAAATCCGAGTATCATCTGGCCGAACAGAATTTACTGATGGTGGTCTTACAGAGGAATACCAACAACTTATGATGCAACAGTTAGAAGATTTGGATGTTAACCGACTCCATGCAATAAGGCGAAATGTGAAACAGAGTGAAATCAGAGCAAGGAGTTACGGAAAGAAAGTTCTCCATAGGACGTTCCAGAAAGGAGACTTGGTCTGGAAGACCATTCTTCCTACGTATAAGAAAACTGATCAATTGGGGAAGTGGTCGCCGAATTGGGAAGGACCATACATTGTTCAAAAAGATATTGGAAATGGCGCGTTCATTATTGTAAATCATGAAGGTAGAAGAGTACATGATTGTATTAATGCTAAATATCTGAAGAGGTATTATCCTGCCTTTTCAGATAACAAAACTGCCTGAAACAAAATATTATTCAGAACCCAGTTATGGGGTTCGAACCTACTGGAAGGTTCATTTCTGTTAGTCATCGTGTAGTTGTGAGAAATTTTCTGCCTCTGAATCAGACTTTTCATCCCAGTGAGTAGATATTAGCTCTGGTTCCTCTTCAATAAGATCTTCCAAGTCTGGTCGGTACCTTTCCCATTGGCTTTGCATGTCATCTAGATCTTGATGGGTACGTGCTTGCATGTCTGTTAGGGCTTGATGTTCACGGTCAACAATGGTACGCAATCTTGAAAAGACTTTTCGTTGATTGGAAAATATGTTATCCCAACCAAGGTCTGGAAGTATGGCTGCTGCATGATTTTCAATCATTTCCATGTGATGATGGAGATCAGGAATGCGACTAAGGATGTCACGAAGAGGTTCATATCCCTCAATGACTTTTTCCATCAGGCGGATGACGCGATGAATAGTTCTTCTACCTCGTTGGGAGAATCGGAATTTGAAGTCTAGTTGCTTGAGTATATGTAACAAGTCTTCTGCATGGCCTCCAATAGGGTGATTACCCACAAAGAAGGGTTGGAGAACACCTTCCCAGTTGCTTGATGGAACATGAGGTCGGTCATTTGCCATGTTTGTTAACACGTCGAGTGTTTTGATTTTTCTAATATGCCTTAGAGTGTGTTTCTTAAAATGTGAGAAACAGTGTTCTTTTAAAGAAGGAGTTTGTTTCGTTTCCTATAAAGCTGGGAATTGAAAGGTGATCCTTGTTTTGAGAAAGAAAAAATTGATTACTAAGTCAGTTGTTGTTACAAAGGGGGAAGTATTACAACAGTGCCCCTAGGGCAGTTTTTATATGGGTCCATTTGATTTCATCCCTGGATAGCCTTCGGGTATTGGCAGCCGTTTGATATCTTATGATGAATTGGGATCGGGCTTGGGTTTTCAGCTCTTGATCCAATTCAGCTTCATTCTTGGTGTACTTCTCAATCAGACGCTGTTCATTGGTAATTTGCTTATCCAGGGTAGACTGTTCTTTCCTCAGCTCCCGCAATTCTGCCTCCTTTTTCTGAATAGCTTCATCAACTTGAGCTTTCGTGTTAAGGAGACCACCCAGCCTTCCAGTAGTCTGCTGGAGGGATTCTCGGGTTTTAGCCAAAGAATTCTCCAGCGCTGTTTGATCGAAGTCGGGTTGGGGGGTTTCGGCTGACAGGAATCCAATGACTAATACTTCAGTCTTGAGCTCTGTAAGTCTTTCCATCAGCCGATGCAGAATGGGGACGGCTGGTGATTCCGTTGGAGTGTAATAAAGAAGGCCACCAACCGTCTGAATGAGCTTGTCCAATAAGTCGGACCTTAATTCGGACAGGGGACGGTTAATGGCCTCAGTGAACACAGTCTGGGCCTCCGCTGGAACCGGAACAGTCGATAGGACAGCTAAGTCCGAAGGCCCCTGCAAGTCCTATAACGTCAATAAATATTCCAAGGGAGTTGCAAATTTGTTTGGAGAAATATGTGGTACCTCTGGGCGGACTGCTGTCAGTGAGGGGGGCAGCAATGAGGTCGGTCGAGTTGGGCAGACAGCTGGTATAACAGCAGCCGACTCGTCGGCTGCTGCGAATGGTCGCTGAGGTGCCGACCTGGGTCCCTATGGAAAGTAGTATTTGAAACAGTTAGTGTTTTTCGAAAGAAAAGTTATGGCATGGATTGGTCTAATCTTACCAAATTCACAGAAGTCTCCGAATCGGATGAAGACATTTCTTCCATTTCTGGAGGTTGGGCTGCCACAGGTGGTTCTTCTGCCTGCCATTCGATGGCTAGAGGGAGCGCCGCTGCTGGTAGGGCGGCTGCAGGTTGGACGGCTACCTCTAGAGCCACTGCAGCCAGGACCTCTGGGGCACCTTCGATTTCGGGATCAGCAGCATCAGGGGTGTCGTTTTGAGGGTCAGCTTCGGCGAGGGCGGCTGGTTCTTCCTTTGACATAGATGAGTCTGATGCCATGTATGGCGGCCGACCCATCTGGGAAGTAGTCCCCTCACTGTCAGAAGAGACCCCTGCTGCTGATGGGATGGGTGAAGGTGTCTGTGGAAAAATCATGAAGATGTTTGTTGTTAAATATATTAAGGTTGATCATCCGAATCCTAAGTCTTGCTGATAAAGGAACTTACTGGTTCTATAGGCACTGTTGGTAAAGATTGTCTCCTGGTCGGGGGCCTGGCCCGACCACTCCTCGGTACGGGAGGAGGGGTTTGCCTCCGCGTCGGGTCCTCCGCCCGACTGCTCATTGGCAAATTGGTCTGGACCAAAGGCCCGATTGAATGGTCGGTTGGTGCTGGCGTCGGTTGCATGGTCGGTGTCACCAAGGTCGTTTCTGGGGAATGAAATGAGTAAAATCAAAGTTATGATATAGTGAATTGGTTCACGGTGTTAAGAAACATTACCAATTCGGGGTCGGGTCCTTGCTGACGTCCTAGTTATTCCAAGGTCTGCTAGTGTTTGCTGGTCGGTCTCCGAGGTCGGGGGTGTTTGCAGCTGGGAAGTTTTTCTTTTGCGCGTGGGACCCCCAGATCCGATTCCCGGGGCGGTTGTTTGTTTTTGGGTGCTAGTATGTATCGCCGCCCCTAGAACCAGTCCTTGGGGGGGGGAGGAGTACGTTCAGCAACCGATCCTCATCAGGGGATATCAGGGACCATACAACCGACCACCATTCATTGAAAGTATCTACAATCTCAGGGTTGGAGCGGAAAGGAATATAAGAATTGGAAATTATATACGTGGTGAGCTGGGAGATATAAGAAGGGATTGAATTAGGAAGGACGCGTCGGTCGGGACTTTGAAAAATTATTTGGGGACACGCGACGGGTCCAGGGATACCTTGGCAACAGCCGAACTGGCGCGCCATGAATTGAGGTTCATAGTTAAAAGTGTAAAAAGTTTTCTGCCCTTTTTTATCAAGTTTCTTGCTACTAAAAAGAGACCTGGGTTTGAGGGCGACGTCCCAGGCGAAAGGATAGGTGGGATGAGGACAAGGCTCAGGAGTCGGAAGCGGGTTTGGTACTGGAAAGGGCCAAAAATGGTCGGGAGCATAACCCGCATACTTTTTATACATAGAAAATCGAAAGTTACTGCGGGTATCTGTTAAAATGGCAGTTATTATTGGATCGGACGATTGGAGTTTATTGCGTCCTGAGCAGAGTCGGTTGAGGACTAATCCTAAATGTTTTTCAGATGTTGGCATAGTGGGCGGAGATCCTAAGTTAAACGCGTTGGGGAAGTAAAGACGGAACCAAAGTTCTAAAAACCAAAAAGGACCCGACGCGGCAGTGTCTAATTTCCTATTATCGTTATCTGTTAAACGAAGGCTAACCCTGGTGAGTCCTTCAAACAGATTGGCTAAAAATAGGGTGCCAAGGGAGAAGAACCGACCTGACGCAATATGAATGGCCAGGTCGAGGTGAGAAGGAAGAACACTTTTGGAAGGAGAAACAATGATGTACCTACAAAGCCAGAACAGAATAAAGGCAGTATGTTCCCGGTCGGTTACAGGAGTCCCTGGAGCCCCTTGCTGGTCGGTTGCGAACTTTGTCCAACCCCATTCCTTCACACCTTGTAAAGACCATCCCGGATGGTCTTCTGGTGGCTCCTGCCCATCTAGGGCTCCCATTACAGGGTCTTCACCCACGACTGGGAGATGTGCGATCATGGCCACGTCCATAAGGGTTGGGCCAAAGGGGGCCGAGGGCAAAAGGAAAGTCCCATTTTCCGCATTCCAGAAGGCGGACATGGCCAACAGCACCTTCTCATGCAGGTTGATAGGCATGGTAGACAGTAGTATTGCTTGGTCGATCTTTTGGGATCGCCATTGGGTCTGGAAGTGTTCTGCTACTCGTCGATACCAAGCACGATACAGATCTTTTGGGTCTGTGAGATGGGTCTTGATGCTGTCTCGGATGCGAACTGCTTGGTAGTTGGGATTGTTGATAGCCAAGGTGTTGCGAGATTCCAAAACTTCCCTCATCCGATTTGAATCTTCAGGAGTAGTGCAATATGGACGGATCGTCGGAGTTAGTACTTTCGAGGCTGAAAATGGACCTTCTGGAAGGGTTCCGTCGAAAGGAAGGGCAGGAATGTATTGATTCGCCATAGTTAGAATGTTTTGGGATTGTGATTCACACAGGCTTGTATTGCGAAGAAGGAATAAACCAGGAGTGTTGCAGTAACTGGTGTAGTTGCTAAGGGAGTTTTTCAAGAAGGTAGTGCTTTATGAACTTCCAAACATTTATTGGCGTTTGAAAGTCCCTTGGCGGCGGGCAAGTTGTTACGTACGAAATTTAGAATTAGGTTAAAAGCCCAAGGTAAAACGAGGAATGGGCCTGGCAATAGGGTTGATTGAACTGGCTGAAGGACACCGTGAGGAAATCAAGGAAAATAAATTTATTTATTTATTTCTAAGGAAAATTCAGGACGGAAGGATCTCAGGTCGGTAGGTCCTCAGGACGGAAAGACCTCAGGACGGAAGGTTTTTAGGTCGGTAGGTCCTCAGGACGGAAGGTTCTCAGGTCGGTAGGTCCTCAGGACGGAAGGACCTCAGGTCGGGAGATCCGCAAGACGGAAAGACCTCAAGTCGGAAGGTCTTCCGGTCGGGAGGTCCGCAAGACGGAGAGACCTCAAGTCGGAAGGTCTTCAGGTCGGGAGGTCCGCAAGACGGAAAGACCTCAAGTCGGAAGGTCTTCAGGTCGGGAGGTCCGCAAGATGGAGAGATCTCAAGTCGGAAGGTCTTCAGGTCGGGAGGTCCGCAAGACGGAAAGACGATGAATCGGAAGGTTTTCAAGTCGGGAGGTCTTCGAGACGGAAAAGTTGTCGAGATAGGATATCCGCAGGTCGGGTAAACTGTAGGTCGGATAGAAGGCGGAGTCGGACAAACGCGGAGGCCTTTGATCAAAGACAGGGGGCGGTTGATATGGAGGTCGGCCCAAGTGGGGTCGGGCGAAGAAGTAGGTCGGACGAAGGACGAAGTCGGGCCAAAAGAGCGGAAGGTTTGTGGTCGGCTCAAGGAGCGAAGTATAGGGAATTTTGGTCTGCTGGGGACACGTGTCAGCATGAGAAAGGTTGGAAGACGGTTGAGAAGGGGACGTTGTAACCGTTCGGGTGACGGTTTTCAGTACGGTTTCCCAGGGAATATTTAAGGATTTGAATCATCGTTTGGCGAGGTATCTTCAATCAACTTCAACAAAGCAAAGTCAGATTTGGGGATCACCACTTTAAATTTCAGTCTTTTATTTTCCAGTTTATTTTCTGTACCATACAGTGTTTAGAGATTCCTAATCTCAGGCACTAATTAATCAAGTTTAAGGATATTTTCTATATCTTTGAATTTTACTTTATTTTTGTTGAAAAATTACATCAACAATACCAAAAAGAAAATATTGCACGATGTTTGAGACGGAGGGAGTATACAAAACATATATTTAAGGTATGTTTTGTTTGATTGAAGTTTGATTTGATTTGAAATAAGATGTTAGATTTGAATATTTTTTTTTTAAATAATTTTTTATGTGATGTGTGATGAAATAAAATAGTACTTTTTTCGTCTTGTTTACCATTTTTGTCCGTCTCAAAATAATAGTCTTACTTCCATAAATAACCATATCACCATAAAACTACACATACTTTTTCATTTTTATTACACAATTGCAACTATTTTTTATACTAATACACTCACGCAAAAAAGTCTTTTATCTATTTTTTTTACCAACTACTAATATAATATCAATATTCCTTAAATCTCGTGTCCAACCCAATTAATACTATATTTATGGGACGGAGGGAGTATCATTATATTTTTGTTGAAAATTATACAAAATAAATAATATTAATTTCAGTTTAATTCCTTTTTTCTTTTTTCTTTTTTTTTAAAAAAACCTTAATTAATTGGTATCAATTGGTTACATGAATGTTACCAATTGGACATGTTAAAACATTTGGAACCAAAATTGCAAGTCATTTGAGATTTGATTTTATACTTTATATTTTAAGTTTTTAATTTGAATAATTATTTATATGTAATATTTTATGAGATATTATAATTTATTTTTATAGAAAATTATGCAAAAAAAACATTACTGGAAAAAATTGAAACAAAGTAACATAGGCTTATTTTTTTACTAATAAAGTTATTATAACAAAAATATTTTATAAAAATAATAAATATGCATGCAAATTGATATTTTTTTGTTACTGAGTTTAAACTGAAATCAACACTATTTATTCTGCATTGCTTCCAATAAAATATATATTATATTTTTGTCACAAAATATTATTTAAACAAAATTTTAAATCTTGCTCTATTTAGATTTTTTAAATTAGTCCTAAAAAAATTACTCTCTTCGTACGAGATACCATGTCCACGTTGCCGTTTCTGTCTGTCTCACATACCATGTCACTTTTCTTTTTTGGAAAATGATTACACACTTTAGTCTCGTTTTAAATTTTTTTTAATTTTAATTAAACTAATTAGTTATCTTAATCTTAATTTATAATTATTTATATTATAAGATAATTATTTTCACTAATACATTCTTAATTATTTACTAATTACATCCTTTCTAAAATACCGTGTCTACAGTAGTAGACACGATATCTGGGACGAAGGGAGTAATATATTTTTTTTTATTTGAAATTATTAAATAAAATTGTTGATTTTTTTTTCTTTGAAAGAAAACAATTAAATTCTCAAATTTTTTAGAGAATAGGAATCATAGATTCATAGGTGCTGTAAAGTCCACAACTGTGATAAATAAATAAATAAATATATATATATATAGGAGTACAATTAAAAATTTAAAAAATACAATTAAACAAACATATAAATAAATATTTATGAAATGTACGAAAATCAAAGTAGAAGTCACCGACCTAAAAAAACAATTGATTAATTAAATAATTAGCGGAGAAATTAGAAGATGGGAAACAGTGGAAATTGATAACATCATTAATTTAAAATAATTAAAGAAGCTTGCAAGGGTGGCTCCCCCACCGCCCGCCACGTGTCACCGACTTTTGTGCTGCACACGTTTCTTCTGTCGGGGACAACGCATACTCTTATAGCGTGTGTTTGTTTGAAGGATTTTGGTGGATTTCCACTATTCATCTAATTTTTTCCCCTCAAAAACATCAAATCAAACACCTATTTTTTATTTTTTATATTATACTAAAAATCAATTTTACATTCAAAATATCACATCAAACCCTATTTATATCACATCATACAACTATTCAAATTCAAAATTTTTACTATTCAAATCCCAACTCAAAATCCAAACCCCCAAACAAACACACCCTATGGGTATTTTATATTCCTCTACTTGGTACTTCTTTTTTCAATTAAATAAAAATTTTATTTTTTTAAATATGTAAAAAAATATTTCATTCGTGTCAAAATTATAGTTTTAATTGGATTGAATACGAGATTTAGAAATATTATTATATTGTAGTCAGTAAAAAGTATAATTAAAATATTTTTTTGTCATTGTGAGTGTATTAGTGTAAAAAATAGTGACAATTGTGTAAAAATAAAAAAAAAATAAGAGTAATAAATGGTAAACAAGACTATTGTATTGAGATAAAGAGAATATTATTTTTTATTAAAAAATTAAATAAATTTAGATGATAATTAATAATTAGTTTTATTATTTAATAATTACTTTTATTAATATATTATTAATTATTTATTAATTATATTTTTCTAAAATTTATCTGTCGTCTACCGTAAAATGAAGACAATAATTTGAAAATAAGAGAGTAATATAGGCTTTATTTTTTCACCTATTTATTTCGACAAGTTTTTCCAAAATAATTAATATATTACACATATTTATTATTTTTTTATATTTTCTACTCAATTCTTTGTACTTTACATAATTTTTCTTTCCAACAATCTCGCAACAATAAAATTTTCAAAACTACAATTAAATTAAGTCATTTTCCTAAAATCGAATAAAACTACCCCTTCCGTCGTCCCAATATAATAATTTTGTTTACCATTTTTGTCCGTTCTAAAATAATAGTCTCATTTTCATAAATAACCATATCACCATAAAACTATCATTATTTTTTTATTATTATTATACAATTGTCACTACTTTTTATACTGATATATTCACAAAGGCAAAAAATTTATTTATTATTATTTTTTATCGATTATCAATATAATATTAATATTTTTTAAATCTCGTATTCAACACGATAAGATTATAATTTTGGGACGGAGCGAGTATAAAAGTGAAAAAGCAGGGTGAGTGGATGGTCGGTTCTAAACTAAATCTGGTTTTTATCAGGATTCGATCCTTCTCTCCGTTCTTGCCACGTGTCCCTATCACACGACCAAACACACATCTCCCCCTGTATATATACACAGATACATACACATTTAGAGAGAGAGAGAGAGAGTTTGATGAGATAGAAAGCTACCTTCCTTCGTTCTCCATCTCCAACCTCATTTCATAACACTCTTCTAATTTCTTCCTTCTTCTTTTTAATTAAATATTTTAGCTCATATATTACATAATTAAATGGGTCGTTTCTGGACTCTTCTAACCTATCTTCATGCCATGGCTGGGTGGGTATTTTATTTTATTTTATTTTATATTCACTAATAGTTTGATTTATGTGCTCTTTTTTGCAATATATTTGCAGGCCGGCAGCGATGCTTCTATATCCACTGTAAGTAATTAATTTTTATTTAAATGTTATATTTATATTTGCATCTTTCTTTAATTGATGGTTTTGAATTTGAATTTGAATTTGAATTTGAATTTGGGGTGAATTTGAATTAGGTATGCATCAGTGGTGGCGATAGAGAGCACGTCGAAGGTGGATGACGAACAGTGGTTAGCTTATTGGATCATATATTCGTTCCTCACTCTGCTGGAGATGCTTCTTCAACCCCTCCTCGAATGGTACCTACCCTACCCTACCCTACCTACCTAATACCTTACCTTTTTATTTAAAAATAAAAAACCTAAATTGCATAAAATAGAATCTATTTGTTTCGTTAAATTGTTTCAAATCTTTTATATTTTAAACAGTATTTAATTTAAATGCGCTGAAGCTACGAATAAATTTTAAAATATCAATTTCTAAATTCCTAAAATTACAAATATATTTATTTTTCTTATATCTAATCTTAAAAAAATAAAATAAAAAAACACTCTTAAAATTTGAGAAAAATAAAAATAAATTTTTAAAACTTGAAAAAAATAATTATTTTTTAGTATATTTATTATTGTTTTAGGCTAAATATAAAAAAAATTAATATATTTGTAATTTTAGTGATTTAGAAATTGATATTCTTATTCGCAGTTTGAGCGCATTTATGTTAAATACCGTTAAATAAGAATCGTTCAGGGGTTAAATGCAAAGTTTATGAAACTATAGTGAAGTTTAACGCACTTTTAAAAGTATAAGGATTTGGCGCATGAAACTTTATGTGAATTTTGTGTAATTTAGCAATATATATATATAAATTAAAGGTTAATTTTTTATCAATGATTTTCCTATTTATTTATTTATTTTATTTGTTAATAAAAGTGTTTCTTTTGGATGAGTTTAGAAAAAATTGATCTGAATTCTATATTATAATAATGTTTGGTGAAAAAAATATATATATACTTTTTAAATATAGAGTTCAAATAATAATATTTGAAAAAATTTGATTAAAAAAAAATTATACTCAATTATTAATTTTTAAAAATTTTATTATTCTAAATAATAAATAGCTTTGTATGAATGTACATAAATAAATATATAAATGTGTTTATATATATTTAAGATATTTTAATGAAATTTATATTGAATATTTTAATGAAACTTATAATTGTTTGATAAAAAAAAAAAATTAAACAATGGTATTTTAATATTAGTTTTGTAATTTTGTTAAGGATACAATTAAAATTTTGATAGGGGTTAGTAACATAATTTTTAAATTAAAATAGTATGGATCTAAAGAAATATATAAAATCCATCAATTATATTTATTTAAATAGATGAAAAAAATTGTGATATAAAAGATTGTAATTTTTTACATAATTTTGAGCACATTTTGCTAGACGGATTGAAATAGTAAAATAACCGCACTTTCTACAAAACGGATGAAGTATATGCCAATACAATAAGTATACATATATACAAACATAAAATATAACAATATATAAATTGTACAGTATATAATTTTATACAACACAAAATTATATTCCCTCCGTCCCATAAATATAGTTTTAATTGGGTTGGGCATGAGATTTAAGGAATATTGATATTATATTGGTAATTGATAAAAGGTATGGATAAAATTTTTTTTTACTCTTGTGAGTGTATTAGTATAAAAAGCAGTGGCAATTGTGTAATAAAAATCAAAAAGTAGGAGTAGTTTTATAGTGATATGGTTATTTATGGAAATAAAACTATTGTTTTAGGACAGACAAAAATAGTAAAGAAGACTATTGTATTGGGACAGATGAAGTATTATGTTATATATATATATATATATGGATGCATTTGATCCTATCAATGAGTTAATTGCCGCCTAATAATAATTATTATTTTTGTTATTTCAATTTATATATTTTTTTCGTCCTTTATTTATCTAATTCATTTGTTTTTTGCACGGACTTTTATCAATATTAGTATTATATTGGGATGTGGTATGAATAAAGTGAAAAAGAATGTAATATATTATAAATTGTAAGAGTATTTTTAATGTTAGTATAAAATACAGTCATTAAAAAATTTTTTTTTTTTTTGTCACAACAAACATCAATTTTTCTATTTTTTTCACGACAGTTTTTTTATATATTTTAATTTATTTTTTTTAAAATTCGTATCCGATCATATGAATATATTTATGAATGATAGAGTGAGTATTTAATTTATTGTAAATATTATCGTTGGCATGGCGTAGGATACCAATATGGTACGACGTGAAGCTAGCGATGGTGGCGTGGTTGGTGCTGCCCCAATTCCGAGGGGCGGCATTTATATACGAGAAATTTGTGAGGGAGAAGCTCATTAAAAGACACACGGCGCTACCAAACGGGAAAGGAAAAACCACGGCCAAATCTGTTCATTTTCTTACATCCAATAAGGTAACTTAATTTAAAGATATTTTGATATTATTGAGACAATCATATTTATTTTGTTAAAATTTGGTAATTCATCGTGTAATGTCGAAGTTACTTCACATTATATACTAGATAATATATGATGGATAATTTATAAAATTGTGACACTTCAAGATTTTTTATTTTTTTTATTTGGGCTGTTACATACTACTTTTGATTTCAATACAAGATATATGTCGATATAACATATTTTGTAAATATGAATGAATATATATATATGTTGTTTATCAGTTTTTAATGTATTGATCGAAACAAATCAGTATTTTTTAAACGTTACAATCAATTTATTTTTGGATATAAAATTTAAAATAAAAGCTATTATAGTTATATTTTAATATAATCAACAATGAAATATAAAAATATACACACTCCATGGGTGTGTGTGTGAGAGAGAGACTAATTTTTTTATATGCATGATGATATTTTTATTTTTTTTTTAAATTTTTTTTTTATAACGAATTTTTTTTTTATAACGTGGGATCTATAGCCGTTATCTTTTTTGTATTATTTTGTAAAAATTTCGAATTGAATTTAATTGTCTGTAAATTAAATTCGACAACGTGATAATATTTTTTTTTTTTGCAGCATGGAGAGGGGGAGAGAGAGCTTTAGGCTTACTAATATAATGAGGATTGAAGACACCGTTGAAGAAACAGTTTCTTGTAAATTAATTAATATTATTTTAATGAAGTTTCATTTTCTTTTTCTGTTTACTTTTTTTTTTTTCTTTTTTCAATATTATTGTCTTGCTTAATTATGTATTTATTTTGTATTTTTAGATTAATGGATTTTTTTATATTAAGTATAAAAAATTATATATATATAATATAAAGAATAATATTTTGTGCTAAATTATGAATTTTTTTATAAATGCATAAAATTTATATGTATCATATATATGTTTGCATGTTAGGCTAGTTTGTTTTGTATTTCTAATTTTAAGTGTTCTTTTCATGTTAGTTATAAAATATATTGTATTTTAAAATAATATCCATGGAGACACGTTTTATAAATGTGTAAGTAAACATACTCTAAGGGCGTGTTTGTTTGAGGGTTTGAATTTTGAGTTGAAATTTGAATAGTAAAAATTTTGAATTTGAATAGTTGTATGATGCGATATAAATATGTGTTGATATGATGTTTTAAATATAAAAATAATTTTTAGTATAATATACTCCCTCCGTTCCAGATACCGTGTCTGCTACACTGTAGATACGGTATTTTAGGAGGGGTGTAATTAGTAGATAATTAAGAATATATTAGTGAAAACAATTATCCTATAATATAAATAATTATAAATTAAGATTAAGATAACTAATTAGTTTAATTAAAATTAAAAAAATAAAATTTAAAAATTTAAAACGAGACTAAAGTGTGTAATCATTTTTCAAAAAAGGAAAATGACATGGTATGTGGGACGGGACATGGTATCTAGGACAGAGGAAGTAAAAAATAAAAAATAGATGTTTGATTTGATATTTTTGGAGGAAAAAAATAGAATGAATACTATATTTAAAATCCGATACTCCAAATAAACAAACCCATCGTATTAGTATTCCATTCAAAGTGTATAAGAAGATGTACTAAAAGTAAAGTAAAGAATTTCACATAAGGACGAAATTCAAATATCATTAAAGAGAAATTAAAAAAGTGAATATATTTGATTGTGTCGTAAATATTAATATTATTGGAATAACAAATAGAAATTTATCTTCAACCAGTAATTATATATTATATTCGCTTTTAAGGGTCATATTTATCTTTTTTGTCATTATACTTAATATTAAAAATATCATTATATTTGTATAATTTTGTGAAATATCTTTTTTATTAGTATTACAAGACACTAATACTCCCTCCGTCACATTGAAAGGTTACTATTTTCTATTTTCGTCCGTCCCAAAACAAGGTTACCATTTCTTAATTTAGTAATTGTACTAACTACTTAACATAATAAATACCCTTTCAACTTACAATATATTACACAAATGTCATTACTTTTATATTACACCATACTAATAGGTAGAGTTGTTAAACGAACCGAGCCGTTCGTGAATTCGGCTCGGTTCGGCTCAGTTAAAGCTAGTTCGCAAACGTTAACGAACCGAACCGAACAACATAAACAGGCTCGTTTGGTTAACGAACGAGCCCGAGCTTTGTTCGCGAACATTCGTGAATGTTTGTTTAAAAAAAATATATTTATTATAAATATATATACATATAAAATTATAATTTATAAATAAATAAAATATTAATTTAAAATATATAAATAAAATATTAATTTAAAATATATAAATAAAATAAATTTAAATTTTATTTATAATTTATATATAAATTTTAAAAAATAAGATAAACGAGCCGAACACGAACACGAGCCGAACACAAACACAAGCTCAAACAACAAAAATTCTTAACGAGCCGAACTCGAGCACTACAAACGAGCTTAAAAGCTTAACGAACGAACACGAGCCTTGTTTGCAAACGTTAACAAACACTTAAAATTTGCTCGGCTCGGATCGTTAACAACTCTACTGATAGGGGTATTTTTGTTTTTTTTTTTTACTACAATCCAATATAATACAAATATTAAAAAAATTATGAGTACAAAACAAACAAAAAGCAAACGCCACCTTTTCAACGGGACGGAGGGAGTATAAGTATTTTGCAATTTTTTTTTAATTTGTATTATATTTTGATATAATAACTAATATGCAAAAATCAACACGCAAAAAGTAAATTAGATCCTTAGAGTCGGACGGAAATAGTAATATATTTAAAGTATATATGTATATAAATATATATTATAATATGCTATATATGAATATATATATATGTTGTAGAGTGTAATATATATAATTTTATTCGTGCCGCCTCTAAGGCTTACATTTACATTTTATGTCATTGTCTTTAATATTAAATATATCTTTATCTTTGTATAATTTATTGTACAAATGTTCTTCTATTAGTATTATAAGACACTAATGTAAGTATTTTTGCAATTTTTTGTTACTTTGTACTACGTTTTGATATAATAATTAATATTCAAAAATCAATATGCAAAAAGTAAATGAGACATTTCGAGTCAAATGGAGGTAGCATATATTATATATATATAAATATATGTATTAAAGAGAGTTAGAAAAATGATACGACCATGGAGTGAATTTGATTGATTTCAGTCTATCTTTAAACAAATACTCCATCCGTCTTAAACACTGCACAACATTTTAGTTAATATGAGAATTTAAATGAGTAGTATTAAGTAGGGTAATTTTAGATAATTTGAAGATTATGTGATGTGATTGGAGAGATAAATGTATATTTATTTATTTTTATTTAAGTGATTTGATGGGATAAAAGTAAAATGTATATTTATATATATGTAATTAATTATTTCTAAATTTAAAAATATTGCAGTGAATTTGGTACAAATAAAAAACCAAATATTGCAAAATATTTGAAATAGAAAAAGTACAATTTATCTAGTATTTACGGACAAAATTGCATCCAATAATAAAAAGGTACGTATGTATAGACAAAACATTCACACCTAATGTCATAAGGTGTACACTTATGATGTATGTGTTTGGAATAGATTGTGTTTTTGTATCAGTAAAAAGTTGAATTTGAATAGTTATTTGATGTGATATAAATAGATATTATGTAATGTTTTTAATGTAAAATAGATTTTTAGTTGTATAAAAAATAAAAAGTAAATATTTGATTTGAAACTTTTAGAGGAAAATAAAAAGTTAAATAGTAAAAATATATGGTAATACTCACTAAAGAACACAACCTAAGTTTTTAGGCAAAATTGTCCATAACTCCCTTGTGTTTCTAAACTCAACGTAAATCTCTCATCTACTTTAAAAATTGCATGACGCCGCCTTATACTTTAAAAGATGTTGCAAGAAACTACTCTGTGGTTTCGAAACTTAGCATAAATCCCCACTTTATTTTAAAAAATTGCATGACGCTTCCTTATACTTTCAAAAATATTGCATGAAACCCCCATGTCATGCAAAACATATAGATAGGAAATCATCTTTTTATCACATGAAGAAAGTTTCATAGTGGTGAACTTTCATGCACGTTTTTTAAAGTATAAGGGGGTACCATGCAATTTTTAAAGTATATGGAAATTTTACGTTGAATTTCGAAACTACAGGGAGTTATAAACAATTTTACCAAGTTTTTATTTAAAATGACTATTTATTGTAATATTAATAAATATTTTACTTAATATATTGCTAATTTTTATAATAATATGATTTCTTATTAAAGAAAATAACAATATTTTCTTATAACAATTTAAAAAATAAAATGAACAGAAATTAAATAATTAATAGTTTTTTTTTATTTTATCAAATTTTATTTTTTACAAAGTAACATATATATTGATAATATTATAATAATATATTAATCAAAATTTAATTTAATTTATTTCTTATCTAATATTGAATAAATATTTTAATTCTATACTATCAATTACATCAATGACAATTTTAAAAAATCTACGTTTAACACCAAAACTAATATTTTAAATAGAATTTATCATCGAAACAAAAAATTAAAACTCTAAAATATATACGAATAAATTTTATTAAAATATATGTATCATCAAATTATCTTATTTTGTCAATTTTTAACTAACTCTAGTTATTGAAGGAAAATAAATAAGAAAATATCTGAGAATCATTAAATTTTTTTATTAATAATAAAATCGAGATTTTATTCCTAAGACAACTGTAACATTCAAGTTCAATACAAATTTTTTATTGATTTATATAAATATTATAAATAATCAGAACGATACGTACATTATTCTAACTTAAAATATTATTGTAAATAAATAAATAAAGAATACTCTATCCGTCCGGATCTAAGGTCTGATTTATCTTTTGCCTTATTGTATTTTATATTAAAAATATTTGTATATTTGTATAATTTTTTGCACAAATTTTATTATATAATACTCCCTCCGTTCCGGAACAACGGTGGCGTTTGCTTTTTGCACATAGATTTTTTAATATTAGTATTATAATGATTGTAGTGAAAATGACGAAAATACCTCTATTAGTATTGTGTAATATAAAAGTAATGACATTTGTGTAATATAGTGTAAGTTGAAAGGGTATTTATTATATTAAGTAGGCAGTACAATTACTAAATTTGGAAATTGTAACCTTGTTTTGTTTTGGAACGGACGAATATAGAAAATGACAACCTTTCAATGGGACAGAGGGAGTAGTATTACAAGACGCTAATAAAAATATTTTTGTCATTTTCTCTTAATTTGTACTATGTTTTCGTAAATAATTAATATCCAAAGATCAACACAAAAAAAAAAAATAATAAAATTCTTAAAATATTACTCCCTTCGTCCCACATATACCGTGTCCGCTACACCATAGACACGGTATTCTAGGAGGAGTATAATTAGTAGATAATTAAGAATCTATTAGTGAAAATAATTATCCTATAATATAAATAATTATAAATTAAGATTATGATAACTAATTAGTTTAATTAAAAAATTTAAAATGAGATTAAGGTGTGGAATCATTTTCCAAAAAAAAAAATGACATAGAATATGAGACGGAAAGAAACAACAACTTTATTTTTTAATCATTTACAACTTTGTTTGGTTGGCACTAGTAGCACGTTTCTATTTAAATGATATATTGATATAATATTTTTGTTATAAAATAATGTATTTATTAAAAAATTGTGTCAATCCAATAATATAAATTTTAAATATAAAATAGTTAAAGAACAAAAAATATAGACTTGGATAAGGTAATAAATTTATATTTTTCAATTCCTTTAATTTAATCATGTGTCAATTTTGTCTTCTATTTATTAAATTAATTCATTTTTAGTTCTTATTACTTTGTTAAAATATTTGCAAATAGAATAATTGGTGCCTTATGTTGAATACGAGAATTCGCATTGTTTCAATATTTCAAATGTAACCGAAATTATAGTAATTTTATATGTTAAACATTAACAAAAATGGGTAAGTAATAATTAAAATTGAATTAAGTTGATAAATAAATAAATAAATAAATAATTCATATAAAGTTAATAGACTATATAAAAATACTCTCTTCGTCTCAACTCAAAGTATTAATTTTATTATTTTCGTCCGTTTACTTCGAAGTATTCATTTTCTATTTCAGTAAAAATAATTATACACTAATACTAAAATACCTTTAATTTTTACATAAATTACAAATATATCATTACATATACAATTACTTTATATATTAAGTTAAAAGGACAAAAATGTCAAAATTTCTTACATATTTCAATTAACCAATAAAATACTATTATTTCGTTAATTTACTAAAAAAACCCAAAGAGTCCATTTGGAGTGAGATAGAGGGAGTATATTTTATCCTATTTTAATACTCCCTCCATCTCGTTGAAAGGATGTCGTTTGTTTTTTACACGTAAATTTTTTAATATTAATATTGTATTGGATTATAGTAAAAAAATACAAAAATACCTCTATTAGTATGGTGTAATATAAAAGTAATGACATTTGTGTAATATATTATAAGTTGAAATGATATTTATTATATTAAGTACCATTACTAAATTAAGAAATGGTAACCTTATTTTGAGACGGACGAAAATGGAAAATGGTAACTTTTCAATGAAATATAATTATCAGGGTTGTGTTTGTGGATTTTGAAGTTGGATCTAAAGGTTAAAATAGTATAGTTTTAAATTGAAAAAGTTGCTTTATGTTATATAAATAGGTTTTAAGTGATATTTTTTTAAAAAAGAAATTAATGAACAGTAAAATTCAAATTGAAAATTCATAAACAAATAAAATCGGCTTTGTTTACCCAACACATTTTTACTCATTTTGCATTAATTTTTTTTTTTAAAAAAACACCACATCAAGTACATTTTTTCTCTCACAAAACATCAAATCAAATATTAACTTTTTATTTGTTTTTCAAATTTCCAAAATTCCAAAAACCTCTATCTATAATATATATATATATATATACACTAACTTTTTAGAGGTGTGTTTTTTTTTTTTTTTTTTGAATGATTAAGGTAAATAATATTATTTTTATCAATACTAATAACACATTTACTATATGAATTAAAGTGTGAGATTGATTAAAGTCTGCCACACTAATATGCTAATTAAAGTAATTAATCTACCTAGATAGGTAGAATTAATTTATCCCAATAATATTTATACTAAAGTTTATATTATCTTATATTTAATTAAACAAAGTAAACATCGTGGGTGTATTTACTTGTGGGATTTAATAACTAATTTTACTATTTCAACTTTCTTTTCATTCCAAAAAAACATATTATTTATTTGTTTTATTATACTAAAATCTAATTTTATATATTTATATCACATCAATTAACTATTTCAATTCAAAATTTTACCATTCAAAACCAAAATAGAAAATCATAATCTTACAAGTAAACACACACCATATTAATTAATCTCATAATTATTTAATCCATACAAATAATATAAGTATTATAATCTAATCCTTCAAAGTAAAAGTACATAATTCTCAATAAAAATATATACATATATTTTCTCACAAGATTAATTAAACAAATTATTTTCGTACTATACATAAAAAAATAAATAAATAAAATTAAAAAACCCTAAACATCACATTCACAATCAATTCATAATTAAAATATTACCTACAAAATCTGTTCAAAACATCACATCCACCACTCAATTAAAAAAACAAAAATATTTCCAAAATAATTGTCGAAGAAGATCGAATACTTAGTGGAGAGGAACAATGCCAACTTCCAAGTCTCAAGTCAATAATGCAAGATATGGTTCAACATGTTTGTCATCGATATTATTTTTTTTAATAAAATATCACATTAAAATATTATTTAAACAAAATTCAATATTTCAAATCAATTTCAAACAGCAATGAAACAAACAAAATATATATATATATATATATATAAAGAGGCAGGAAGGATCTCACTCTTTAAGCTTGAGAAAATAATAACAAAGCATAAGAATTTTGGACTTACAGATGGTTGATGAAATGATTTTTCCAGTGTTTGTGATCCTGTTTGGATTCTTACTGCTTCGACTCTACGACACTCTCGTCGCCAAGCCGCGAAAGCTGCGCAGAATCTTGGTTCAACAAGGGATCGATGGCCATCCTCCGAAGTTCATGCTAGGCAACATTCTTGAATTGAAGAAATCCCGGGATGAGATGGAGAAGACGTGCCCTCCCCTCATCCACGACACGGCCGACTTTATTTTCTCCTTTCTCGAGCAAAGTAGAAAGAAATACGGTATGTATATATGTACGTACGTATGTATTCAAAATGAAAAATATCGACATTGTAGAGTAAACATGAATGGGATTCAATGATGATACCTTGGTGATTGCAGGTCCATTGTACCTGTTTTCGCTCGGAAATTTGCAAATACTGTACGTGTCGAAACCTGATTTAGTGAAGGCGATAGCAACCTGCACGTCGCTCGACTTGGGGAAGCCGTCTCATTTGCGGGAGGATCTCGGTCCGTTGCTCGGGCAGGGAATCGTGACGTCGAATGGCTCGATTTGGGCACGCCAGAGGAAGATCATAGCACCTGAATTATTCATGGATAAAGTCAAGGTAAGAACACTATCATAGCATTAGCATTAGTAGTATTATTCTGTGTTTTTTTTTTTCTCTCAGGCATTTCGTCGAACACCTTGAATGCATTGGCGCAGGGAATGATGGACATAATCACTGAATCAGCTCACGAACTGGTAGCTTCCTTGAATCATGAAATCGACAATGGAGGAGCCGTGGAAATCACAATCGATGATTATATGAAAAGATTCTCCGGCGACACAATTTCCAGAGCTTGTTTCGGCAGAAACTGCTCCAAAGTGCAACAGATTTTCCAAAAATTAGGGCATCTCTCGAAGATCATATCCACCAGGATCACATCTCTCGGCGTTCCCGGAATTAGGTAAAAATAATCAATCAATCTCTATCGAAAACGGGAAATCAAAAAACCAGACATACAGATCGATTACCTTGATTACTATTGCATTGAACGCACAGATATCTCCCGACGAAGAACAACCGGAGAATCGCGGAGTTGGAGAGGGAAATCGAGGCACTGATCATGGAAACGGTGAAGGAAAGGCAAATGAGCGGAGGAGGATCGGAGAAGGACTTGCTGCAGAAACTTCTAGAAAGCGCAGAGAGCAGCAGCCATTTCGATTTCGATTTCAAATCAATTTCAATCCGGCAGTTCATCGTGGACAACTGCCGAAACATCTATCTGGCCGGATTCGAGACCTCCGCCTCCGCCGCGACGTGGTGCGTGATGCTGCTGGCTTCCAATCCGGAGTGGCAGAGCAGAGTCAGAGATGAGATTAACGACGTCTGCGGCGGCCGCCGGAGCCCCGACATGAACATGCTTCGCAACATGAAACAGGTTCGCTTCAACATTTATTTATTTCTAACTCTTTACAAAAACATTATGCCGTGTTTGGTTGGTTAGGGGTTGGGGAGGTTTTGTGAATTTATTATTTATATCAACTTTTTTTCTTTTTATTTGTCAAAATTATCAAATTAAATTAATACTACTGTTTTTTACTTTTTTTTAAAAAAAAAAATTAAAATAAAATCTACCTCAATTTATATGAATTCAAATTATTAATCCCTCCCTCTACTAATAATTTTTTTATTTACTTTTTGGCAGCCGAAATTAGGTAAAATAATATTTTATTAAAATATAATACAATGTATGTAAAGAGAATTTTATCCTAGAAAATAAAAAGATTTGAGAAGACTAAAATAAAAAAAAATGAGAAATTTTGAATGGAGAGACTAAAATAGAAAATCTGAAATTCTAATTAAAAAATTCAAACCAAACAAAAAAATCTGAAATTTTTTATTATTTTTAAAATCTGAAATTTGAATTAAAAATCCAAAGAAATTCTAATTTTTTTTTAAAGTTTATTTTATTTTTTATAATTGTTTTATAATAGTATTAAATATATATATAATAAAAATATATTAAATACTTATATTTCAGATTTCGGATTGGTTCGGATTTTTAGTATATGAATCCAAAAATTCAAAATTTATAAAATTTTCAAATCGAACCAATTCAAAAATTCGAACTAAATTTTAAATTTCATTTGGAATCATATTGAAGTTTCGAATTTTAAACATTTTGCTCACCCTTACAACAACAAAGGGTTTGTTCACTTAAGATTTTAATTTTTATATACATATAAAAGATAAATTGAATTATGACGAAAAATTTGGCTCAGTTGACTATGGTGATTCAAGAAAGCATGCGTTTATATCCGCCAACGCCTGTTGTGTCCCGTGAGGCGCTACAAGACATTACTATAGGCGACATCCGGGTGCCCAAGGGCGTCCAAGTTATGGTTATGGTTGCGGCACTGCACACGGACACGTCCATTTGGGGCCTCGACGCGCTTGAGTTCAAACCCGAGAGATTTCAAAATGGGATCGCCGGGGCTTGCAAGAGCCCCAGGGCGTACGTGCCGTTTGGGTTAGGGCAACGAGTGTGTGTCGGGCAACACTTAGCCATGTTAGAGCTCAAGTTGATCGTCGCATCCATTGTCACCAATTTCTCTTTTACGCTATCTCCCAATTATGTCCATTCGCCCGTCATGAGATTGTCCCTTCAACCGAACTACGGAGTCAAGATTTTGGCACGGAAGCTTACGTGAGATGTCATGTGAAGCGACGTAATGAGAAATGAGTAAAGATCAAGACGATGGATGTTGAATGTAATTTGCGGTTACGAAGAAGTTATAAGGTTTGTTTTTTTTCAGTATTTTGGTTTGAGGTATTTATTTTTGTGTGAGGTATAAAGAATCATGTCGAAAATGTAAAAAATAATCCCTCCGTCCTAATTCAAAGCATTCCTTTTACCATTTTCATTTGTCTCATTTCAAAATACCTATTTCCTATTAAAAAAAAAAAGTAATCATACACAGATATCACAATACTCTTTTAATTTTTACTTAAATTACAAATATACCATTACAGATGTCATTACTTTATATATAAAGTCGAATGACAAAAATGTCAAAAACCTCTTACACACTTCCACTAACTAATAAAATACTATTATTTCACAGAGGGAGTAATATTTAATGTTAAATGTTACTTATATATTGAGAATCATATGAGCAAAAAAAACAAACTATTAGACGAACAAACCCTATAATTTCCGAGACAAAGAAGGCTATCAAGATAAGGAAGATTTTCAACGAAACGATTTCAAAGACAAAAATCTAAGACTAAGTCGTTACTATTTTCGAGTTAATAGTATGTACTTATTGCACAAATTCTACTATACATACTCATGTAGCAGAAAAATATTTTATCATCACGCAAGCAATAAAAATGTATACGATATTTTCTTAAAATTCTTCTAGGATTACTCAAACCCGACAAATTTAGTTTCAGAGCCTCGAGGTTTCTTTGTCAAAGGAAAGAGGATTTTACTTACTTGAGTTTGCAAATGAAGACCTATATCTTCTTGTAAGATGTTGCGAACAAAGACTTTGAATAGAGCTATAGAAAATGAACACGGCCCAATAAATTAGCACAAAAAAATGGAAAAGACTAAATTCAAAAACTTACAATAAGCCCAAAAAAATCTAAGTCTAGCTCGAGTTTTTAAAACTCGAGCTACGCTAGGCCAAACCCAAATTCATCATTACTAATAGCATACACATTACACAATATAAATAGATTACTACTAATACATTGATTGCTTGGCATAGTTAGAGAACCAAGCATTTACGTCGACATTAGAAAAATATGCTACAAAAGACGTAGATTAGGTATTCCATGCAATCAAGGTACCATGTCTCTAGTGGATGTGATTAATTTGATCTTGAAAATTTGTTTTCACAATGATTATGTGTAATTAACCGTTTTAATTTGTTGAATATGATGGTATTGAACATGTTTCTAATATATATATATATATATTTTATCTCAGTGTGCAATTAATTACTATATTTACGACAAATTTTGATATTCTAAAATTGTATAAGGTGAAAATGAACAAGATGATGTGTATTAGAAAACTCCAACGAGAAATAATGATGAATGTCTAGTAATAACCGCTCATTTTGTTAATAATGATTGATGTTTATGAAAATTTATTATTACTCGTTTTTTTTAGTTATATACATTCTCCTCACATTAGTACATGATTGACAATAAATTTATGACATTATTTTTGAAAACTTGTCCACATTTTTCATGGGATAATATTTCTTCTAACGATATGTGTGTGATATTTGAAATATAAACTGAATAGTATAAAACAATGATCTATTTCATAAGATGAATCAAAAGCTATCGATACAATGGCGGAAAAGATTTGGGAAAATGTTAAGTTTGTGCGGGAAACTTAAATAGGAAAAGAAAAGTTTCTTGATCATGACAAAAGGTTGTCTTTGGATAGTTACAAAATTGCATTTGAACATGTAACGACGAACAATTGTACTTATGCATATTGTCTTAATAAATTTGAATGGACAAATATTAAAAGATTACGTAAGTTCATGTGATCTTTTTATGATTCGACTTTTATACTACAAGATTTTGCATTTGTCCATTCAAATTCATCAAAGACAAAATGTATAGCTACAATCATTCATGTTCAAATAGAATTTTGCCATAAAACATCTCTTCAACGTGAGAAATATAGAATTTCATCTTGTAAGTAGTCTTGTCTCTGGCCATGCTTACTATTCAAAAATACGCTTTTGACATATTCGAAAAAATATAAATATATATCTTACTTGAGAGCCCACACAAACATAACAATTTTCCAATTTTTTTTTTACCTTTGTATCGATAATCTTAATCCATCTTGCGCAATTAATTCAAATATATACATAACAATGAATATGCAAGATAGCACCCTTCAAAATAAGGGTCCTACTATTCAACTTAGTTTTCAAACATCTTACACAACTATCGTCTGGATAAGTATTATCTCATGTAAATGTGGATAGGTTTTGTTTTCGCAATTACGTAAAGTTCAAATTTACGTATCTAATTACCTATTTTCACATGTATCAAGTATCAACATAAGAAATACAACAATAAGATAATACAATATGTCCCAAACTAACATGGTTGGCGCACATTTGTCGTTTACTAGCTTTAATCTCACTCAAACTATGGAACTACGTTTCCTTAAAATCTAATTTTCGTCTAGTATATATTGATCGACAAGTAAATATAACAAGATCATGTATTCAAACACTCGAAAGAGACACAACATTTATAACTAAAGTTTAAATTGAAATAAATCAACGACATGATATTTTAAATTATTTCAATAGAGCGCATTTAAGGTTTTGGCAATCTTAAGTTAGAGTTTTAAGGTTTCACATTATACCAACAGTACCATAAACATTATACGAAGGTCGTCGCTAGCATTCATCTTCTAGAAGTTGAGCAAAGAATTCGACTAGGCTTCCATTTTCTAATTATATATATATATATATATTATATTCATTATCTAAAACATAAAATGGAAAAATGCAGTTAACCTTACCAGTCTCACCGAGCAGTATCCATCGGGTGCTTTGTCGAGATCTGCTCCTTCGACTTGTTAGCGCCAGCAGCAAATACCCTCTGCAGCACGTCTATCCGATCTGCTACAAGAGATTCTTCGAGTTCCTCAATCTGGGCGCGCTCCTTTTCCATCATCGCTTCAAGATCATCGATGAATTTCATCTTGTGTTTCAGTTTCTTGAGCTGCATTTAGAAGAAACAATCATTCCAATAAAACGTTTTACTATTACTGCCATAATTTGATGAACGCGAAGAGTGGGCTAAAAACCTGTGTCTCGATCATTGTGGACATCAGATGGCCGATTTCCCTTTCCTCTTGATCGGCCAACAACTTTGCGCTTGCAGCAGCAGCACCCAGAGCTGCAGCGGTTGCAGCCCGGGTCCTCAAATTTAGCGGAATTATACTCTTATCTGGAGATCGAAAACTCGGGAACCTCAACACACCTACTTATTCAAAAAATATTCACCCGGAATAAAGATATAAAGGGTAAAGTAACGACAATTAAGAATCACGCGCCTATTATTGTGATGACCTTCGAAAATGAGCCTCCAACTTAACTATTTAGACAAAATTAGGGAAAGAAATGATTCTTAAAAAGTTATATTGATGCTTTTTTTCTATAAAATAGATGTCATCCACATAATAGGCGCGGGTTCTGTTTCTTTGAGTCCTGATCCAATCTCACACCAACACTAAAAGAATGATCTCTTTCGAAAGTTTAAAAGAATGAGAGAAACAGTAATTATCATCGGACCTGACTCGTTACTCGGCTTTTCTTCCATGGAATCATTGGCTTCAGAAGTCCTATTGAACCGTATTCGAAATATTAACTCAAGTTGCAATCTTTGAGATATAGGAAAAAAATTGGATGGGTGAAAGAATTACCTCTTCTGATCATCAGTTTTGGGAGACGCTTTTGAAACATTGTAATTGTCATCGTCGTCAAATATTTCCCTCGAACACTGGTTTTCGTAGCAAAGGGCAGTAACAGCAGCATCGGCTGCAGATGCGGCTACATGTGGCCCCAGCATTGTTGCAACACGGATGACCTAGTAAGACATCAATACTGTCAAATTTCAAATTTTTTTTGTATTATCGATTTGATTTGTGAAAAAAACAAAAATGCTATGCTAAAACTGAATTAAAACTACCTGTTTCATCAAGGAATTTTCAGTATCCGAAGATGGACGAGTGCACACTCTTTTCTGAGGCGGACCTTCTTTCTCAGCATCTCCATTTCGCTCTTCGCCATTTTCTTTAAACTCGGGGCTCTGTTCTTTAACCTCATGCTCGTGTTCCTCGGGTTTCTCGGGTTCATGGTCCTTTGTCTTTGTGACTTCTTGTTTTTGTGATTCGTTCGATTCTATCCCTGCTGGCTTAGAGCTATTGAAATCACCGATATCATCCAGATAACTACTCTTTATGCCGGCAGATTTCAACATAAAATCACCAAAAGGTAGCTGTATAAGCTTCGATATGCATTCCTGTTTACTCTTTGTCTGAACACTTTTAGCAACAAGATCCCAATCGTCGCCATGCTTCAAAACAGATTCTAAAAGGAGTAAAGTTTCTGCTTCGGTCCATGCTGCGCCGTGATTTGAATTCTCTTTTAAATTGAAATCATCTGCTGATTTCTCGTTGTCGTAATTTCCACTTTTGAAGCATTTTTCGCAAAGAATGAAGCTCCCTTCCTGATACAAAAAATGAAGAATAATAAATTCAGCTGTTTGCGAATCTTCTTCTGCAGTTCTAGCTGTAGCTAAAAGTTATATTAAGCTCAAATTTACTTCATCCTAATTAAAAATAAGTTTTTATATGATAGATCTGTAATAGCTTGATAAGAAATCAAACCATATTTAACTCGGTAAATATAAAAGCTGCAGAATGAAACTCATTGCTGTACTGTATCACAAGAAAGAAGTGCAAAATAAATTTACATTTATGCGACAGTAAAACTTGGGAGGAGGAAAAAACAACGTGAAAGAAATGCCGGATGGAAGGCTTAATACATGTCAAACTGTAAGAATGGTTTATCTACCAGCATTAAGGCCCCTAAACTTGCCATGGATAAGAATAGCTAAAGCCATGTGAAAAGAAAAAACAGCTCGGACTTACACCACAGAAAACAAAAAAGAAAGTTCTATAATGATTCATTTTCGCCAACATATAACCATATTATCGAGCATCGTAACCAAATATTTAATTTTCACTACCATATAACCATATTTCGACTGTCATATTCAAGTTTTTTCTAATTACCTACTCAATCATCAAATAAGGATCATATATTCCATAAGAACTACCTCATTAGCAATTCAATTTGTACGGACACGTGATAACAAATGAATCAAAACAACACACAAGAAATTAATTTTCACTACCATGTAACCATATTTCGACTGTCATAGTCAAGCTATTTCTAATTTATCTACTCAATCATCAAATAAGGATCATATAATCCATAAGAACCGCCTCATTTGCAATTCAATTTGTACGGACATGTGATAACAAACGAATCAAAACAACACAAAGAAAAAATTAATTTTCACTACCATATAACCATATTTCGACTGCCATATTCAAGCTATTTCTAATTTACCTATCTCGATCATCAAGTAAAAATGTCACATTCCATTAAAACTGCCCTATTCACACTTCAATTTGTACGGACACGCGATAACAAACGAATCAAAACAACACACAAGAAATTAACTTTCACTACCATGTAACCATATTTCGACTGTCATATTCAAGCTATTTCTAATTTACTTATCTCGATCATCAAGTAAAAATGTCAAAATCCATTACAACTACCCTATTCACACTTCAATCTGTACAGACACGCGATAACAAACGAATCAAAACAACACACAAAAAAGTCAATTTTCACTATTATATAACCATATTTCGACTGTCATATAAAAGGTATTTCTAATTTGCCTATCTCGATCATCAAGTAAAATGTCACATTCCATTAAAACTGCCCTACATTTCAATTCGCACGAAGAAATTATACTGAACAAATCAAAACCACCCAAAAAATCCAAACTATCTACACAACCAAATTCACTTACATAAACAAATATATTACGGACTAAAATCGAAGGTCAGCCATACTACCTTTACATACTCATAGTGAGCAGAGTCACATTCCTCTTTACAGCTTCCACACACATACAACCCCTTCTTTATCTCCTGATGCATCAGCTCACCATATATATCCGAATACGACGCCAATGGCGGCCATTTAAATCCGCTTTCACCCACTTCCCCAACAACGCCGCCGCCATCCACAGCCATGGAAGGAGGCGGCGGTGGCGGAGCAACCAACGGTTTCATCGAATTTGGGGCAGCCACAACTCTCACCCCATAGGGTGCCCCTTCCTCCACCTTCACCCTACCCCTCCAACTCTCTTCCTCATCCTCACACCTCCTAAGATTCCCTCCATCGCCATTTTCCTTACCAGTATCACCACTAACATTGTAATTAATTAATCCCCATTTCTCCAGAAACGTGAAGACCTTAAGCAGGACGCTAATGTCACCCACCAGTGACTTCCGCACATCCGTGAAAGTCAGCTTTCTAGAAGGATCCTCCCTGTACTTGGAAATTATGAAATCTCTGTACTCCTTGTAGATTCGCGGCGAGCGGGTGATGGAACAGCTGTCGAAGAATTCCCTCAGAGAAAACCGCTCCACTTCGTGGATGTTGTTCCAGGAGAACCAACCTTATTCCCCGTAATTACGCGAATGAAAAATCGTTAAATACGATAAATTAGGGCAAAATAACCTAGATTGAGATGCAAATTAAAAGTTGACGGAGAGATAGATGGCTCGGAACGAGAACTTACTGGAGTAGCTGGGTATCGTATAGAGCTCCAAATCTTGCGAAGGTCCTTCCATGGCGCCCCCGGTGATTTTTGGAGGTTTCAGAGGTCTCTTACGGCAATTGCAAATATTAATTTATACTCCTTAGTAATTTGAAAAAAAAAAAAAAAAAAAACCAAACAAACAAACTTTAGTGTAAGGGTGGTGAATTGTAATGTAAAAATAATTATAAATTAATATTAAAATAATTAAATAGTTTAATTAAAAATTTTAAAAAATTAAAATTTAAAATGTGATTAAAGTGTATAATTATATTTAAAAAAATAAAAAAACAAATTATATTACGTGGTACGGTACAAAAATATAAAAATAGAGAAAAAATTATATGGGACGGAGGGAGTAGTAGTAATATTTTAAATTTAAATAAGCTTTATGTCAACTAAATTTGTATTTACTTATTATTTTTTTAATAACTTCTATAACACCCTATTTTGATAAAAATGCATAAAATATCATGTATTTTATTTATTATTTGAATTTTTTTCGAGTAGCAGTTGCGGATTCCCACGTCATAAAAAAAATTTTGTAAAAAATATATTATTCGTCCAAAACTGATATTTTATTATTGTAAATATGAATTCAATAATGCAAATTTTATATAAAATAGATAAAAAAATCTTAAATAAATTTTTGAGTAAAATAAATAAATAAATAATTGATTTAACTCTTTATTTTATAATTTTTTCAAAACAAAATGTTATCTTATTTTACAAAATCTAAAAAAGAAAATTATTTATTATTTATTTATTTAATTTAAAAATTTATTTAAGATTTAAAAATTTACGTAATTTAGGTTTTTATTATAATTAAACATCAATTTTGGACAAATATGGTATAAGGTTTTCAGGCATCAAAATAAAACACACGATGTTTTGTACAATTTTTTTTTGTAAAATACAAGACAGTGTTATATTTATTTTTTTGTCATCTAAAAATATTACTCTTTCTATCCCATCTAATTTGTCCGCTTTAACTGGGAGACTGGAGTTTTAAGTATTATATAATTAATAAGTAACTAAAAATTTTATTAGTAAAAATAATTATGATATAATAAAAACAATTATATATTAAGATTAAGATTACAAAATAATTTAATTAAAATAAAAAAATATATAAATTTTAAATTTTAAAATATGATTTAATGTATAATTATATTAAAAAAAATAATTTATGTGGGATAAAATGATATAAAATTAATAAACAAATTAAATGAAACATAACCCTTTCGGATGAGATTATTTTTTACTTGATATTTTTTGCTTATGTTGTTTCAAGAAATATAAGATATTCATTTAGTATTTGTATTTAAATAATTTTTTATAAATATTATTAAAAAAAATATTATATAGATAAATTACTACAATATTTATAATATATACTCATAAAAAATCAAAATATTTAATACAAAATATTATTTCTTATATTACTAACACAATTTTTTATAATTAATATCAAAAACACCAAAATGAATATTTTGTGTTCGTTTTATTCCTCTTTCATTTTCTATTAAATTTTATTTTATAAAATTTATTGAAAAATCTATAAGAGTAATATTTATTTATTATTTAAATATTTTTCATTATGCATTCTTTTTTAAAAAAATATCAACCAATAATATTAGAATTTTAAATTTTTATATTAGATATTTAAAATAGTATTTATTGTTTAAATTTTAAGATATAACTATTTTCGTATTAAATATATAAAAAAACAATATTTTAAATATATTTTAAAAGTTCGTAGGCCCATTTGGTTCGCCACTCACTGGTGGGTTAGGTTGGGCGGCTTAAATCTTAGCCCGTTCGTCGTGAATTGGTCTGCAAATAACAGGTTATGGCCAATTATGGACTAATCCGTCCGCGAATCAGTTTTGATAGCTCCAATGTCTATTTTTGTTAGTCAAATTCAAATGTTTATTTTTTAGTAAAATGATATCCTTAATCTACTGCAAAATCTCAAAAGACGCTTTTAAAGTGAGACGAATGGAACTATTTATTTTACTTTTTTGTTTGTCTTGAAAAATACTATATATTTTATTTATAGCAAATAATTTTGATATACACTTTTATTTTTATCTTTTTAATATTTTACTTAATTACATATATATCAAAAAATATTTATATACTCATTTTATCCAAAATACTAAATGTTACAATTAATTAATATAATATTATATTCATTAAAACTCATGTTATCTAATGACAAACATATTATTTGAATAATATTTTTAAAATAATAGTATTATAGATAAACAGTGACAAAAATAATTGTTATTTGCATGATAGCTTAGTAAACATATATCTAAGATAGATTTAAATTATTTTAAGATTGATGTTGGAAGATTTTTCAAAACCATCCAAATAATAATAATAATAATAATAATAATAATAATAATAATATAATTAAATAATCAACTTCTAAAAAATACCATTGACATTAAACCCTAACTATTTCCAATTGCAATACAAATTAATATTTTGTAAATAAAAGAAAAAAAAAACCTAAAACGACGTCGAATTGACTCCCGCCTTAAAAAATAACGATATCAACGTCAACCCCGAGCGACGAGGCGGCGATAGGACCCTCCACGGCGGTGCGCCGCCGGAAAGAAAGGGCTGCAGCCGCCGCCGCCGCCGCCAATCAATTCCCGGCGATCGTCGGCGGCGGCGGCGGCGGCGCGGATTTCGGCCAACACATCGCAGAAAAGGTCGACGTGGCAGGGCAGCATTAATGGGCCGCCATTAGCGAACCCGTACTCGGTTTCGGCCCGGTCGAGGAGCGCTCTAAACATCGGGTGGTTGACGTCATCCGTCGTAATCACGAACCGCCGCCTCTCCGGTCCAACCAAAACCGCCACCCTCCCTCCACCGCCGCCGCCGCCGCCGGAGAATTTCTTCTTGAAGCACCGCTCTAGCTTCATCAATACTACACCCAATTTCTTGGCCTCCATCTCAACTATACATACAAAAAATATATATATAATATATAATACTCAATTTCTTGATGATTCGGGTTCGGGTTCGGGTTCGGGTTTGGATCCGCGTCGTGATCCTTACCCGTATCTTCTTCTTCGTCGTCGTATTAATGATGTCTGGAATTCGGGCATGATTATATCAGATCGAACTGCTGCTGATTCTTACTTACTGCATGCAGATATATATATATATAGATATAGATATAGAGTCTAGAGAGAGAGAGAGATGATTAAGAGAGAGAGAGATATAAAAGAGGAGATGGGCTAAGTGTGTTTACAAGTGGGGGAAGATAATGGCGATCTTTCTCTCAATAAATGGAGGCTACCTGCACATTATATAGCCCCATCTCTCTCTCTCTCTATATATCTATATCTATATCTATATCTATATATAATTTATCTACATTATTTTATCCAAAACAAAATAAGGATAAATATTCTTGTTGGTAAAGATGATTTTCATTATTAATAAAATATTGATTTATATAAAAGTAACAATATAACTTTTTTAGTAGCTATTTTTCTAATAATTGTTTAGTTTTAATTTTTTTTTTAATGTGAAATATGAGAATTATATGGGTAATATAAATAATTATTTATTTATTTATTTAATTTCTATTATGGTATGTCTCAAATGTGTGTTTCTTCGGGTAAAAATTTTAAATTTGAATAGTCGTATGATGTGATATAAATAGGTGTTGACGCGATGTTTTGAATGTAAAATTGATTTTTAGTATAATATAAAAAATAAAAAGTAGATATTTGATTTGATATTTTTGAGAAATTTTTTTTTGAATAAACAGTATATTTAAAATTCAATCCCCGAACAAACACAGCTTTGTTTTCTTGTTAAATTAGTAATTCTATTTTCACGTAACATTAAAAATTACAATTTACATATTATTGCATACATATTATAATCATTATTGAATTAAACTATCATTTTCTAAAGGTAAAGTTGTCCTTCCATATTTTTTTACTGTACTACATAATAATAATAATAATAATAATAATAATAATAATATTCCCTCCTTACTGTTGGATTGTCATTAGTTTTTTATAAGTAGATATTCGAATATTAATTATTATATCAAGACGTAGTACAAATCTAAAAAAAAAAATACAAGAATATATTTATTAGTCTATTGTAATAGCACATATAATAATATTTTTAATGTCAAGTACAATGACGCAAAAATCAAATGGCAACCTTGCAGCGGGACGGAGGGAGTAATAAATTTACGAGAAAAAAAAAATAGATACATATATTTGATGAATGGAGAAAAAATGGGTAGGATAAATGTATTTTTTTATATTAGGTATGAAAATCGTATCGATAATAGAAAAAATTATATTTTGCATTGGATTGTTTATTTTTTGTGAATAAGTAAAATATATGTTATATATTATATATTAGTACATATATACATATTATATTTTTGTAATATTTATAAAGAATCGTATAAAAAAATATATATATTGAGTGAACAAATTCATTATTTTGTTTTCCATGTTACTCTTTTAAATGTAATTAAAAGATTATTTTTTAAACTGTCAAAAAAATATTACTAATTTGTTTTGAAAAAAATAAATATATAATTAAATGTTAAATGCAATACGAAATGGATAAACTGTTTTTTTAGTCCCGTAACTGGACCCACTTATCATTTTAGTCCCGTAATTGGAGCATGTTGCAAACTAGTCCCATAAGTGAAAAATTTTCGCTGTTTTAGTCCTCCGACGCCGGAGACGCCCGTGTGGCTCGCCGGAGTTGACGTGTCCGCCAGGTATCCCGCCAGGTCAGCGACACCTGGCGGACACGTGGATTTATTTTTTTTCAAATTTTTTTATTTTTTTAAATTAAATCAAATTTAAAAATTAAAAAAAATTAAAATTAAAAATAAATTAAAAATAAGTTTTTTTAAAAAAATTTAAATTTTTTTTAAAAAAATCCACGTGTCCGCCACGTCAGCGCCAGGTGTCGCTGACCTGGCGGACACGTCACCTCCGGCGAGCCACGCGGACGTCTCCGACGCCGGAGGACTAAAACAGCGAAAA